AGGTGTAACATACAGATCAGACACTCATGTATTTGATAAAGAGCAGGACCTGTATCTGATGAGGTCATCAGGCTGTATTATGGGATGTCTCCCTTAGAGGTAATGCTTAATCTTTCTGTACATTCAAACAGACACTTGAAATTATAGCATCAAACACCAGTAACTGACAGTAAATAAAGTAAAATACTGATACTGAAAACATTTTTTCCTGTTTCTGTGTTAATGTCCTTCCTTTCTGACTGAATGACATGTTACATACTGTGCATCTCATTGGCTACAGTCTGCAGTACAGACATCTTACCCTCAGTGACTGACAGGTAAACCCGTGTTCCCACAGCTGAACCTCTGCTGATCTCCACACCACACCAGTAGTAACCAGAGTTCCCAGCTGTCAGATTGTTCATGGTTACATTGAAGACTTGCTGGTCAGGATAATCTCTGATTGACACTTCACCAGTTATATTTGTAGAGTCAGTGTGTACTATGGGAGTACATGAACTCCAGTCACTCCCTCTGCACCAGTATTTCTCATGTTCTTCATATATGTTGTCATAGAAACATGGGATGGTGACAGATCCTCCACTCTGTACAGACACCGTGTTCAGTGTGGACACACCTGCAGGGACAGTATGAAAATTGCCCAGCTGATTAACTCTCACTCCCTCTTACACCATTTATAAACATATTAATAAAGAGTCAGTACCAGCCCACTGTAGGTTACACTACTTAAATTTGCAGAATATTAAAATTTGTTTTAAATAAATGTTCTATTTACTATCACTGTATTTGCAAAAACAAAACAGTGTAATGAATGATTAACTGATTATTCAGAATAAAATTAGCTGGAAAAACCTGCTTTGCCGGATTATTGTCATTTAATTTTTCATATATAGGTCAAGCATCAGCAACAAAGTCAAACTAGCCAAATCTCGTTGGCTACAGTCTGCAGTACAGACATCTTACCCTCAGTGACTGAAAGGGAGACCGGTGTTCCCACAGCTGAACCTCTGCCGATCTCCACACCACACCAGTAGGAACCAGAGTCCCCATCTGTTATATTGTTGATGGTCACAGTGAAGACTGGCTTTGTGGGATCATCACTGATTGACACTTCACCACTTTTCTTTGGGTGATCTGTGTGTACTATGGGAGAACATGAACTCCAGTCACTCCCTTTGCACCAGTATTTCACCTGCTGTTTATATTTGTTGTCATAGGAACACAGGATGGTGACAGATCCTCCACTCTGTACAGTCACCCACCTCACTGTGGACACACCTGCAGGGACAGTATGAAAATGACCAAGCTGATTAACTCTCACTCCCTCTTACACCATTTATACACATATTCATAAAGTCAGTGCCAGTCTACTGTAGGCTGCAGTACTTTACTCTGCAAAATATTTTTAAAAAATTTGAATAAATGTTGTACATTATTTACTAGCATCGTATTTGCAAAAATATGAAAACTAATCAGATAAAATAAAATCATCCTGAAAAAAACCTCCTTTTTCGGCTTATAGTTGCTTCTTTACATCAGCAGCCAAAGCACCTGCAGGTCAGACCAGCTAATCCACCTGGAGCCAAGCAGGTTAAGCCCTGGCCAGTACTTGGATGGGAGACCAAGTAGGAAAACTAGGTAACTGCTGGTAGAGGTGTAGGTGTGGTCAACAG